GGCACCTAACAACAACAACCACCTCTTTTCAGCAAATCTGCTGGATGACCTAGCCAGCACAGTGAAGTAAAAAAGAGGAACTATGTTTCAAAAGAAAGATACAGATACCATTGTTGTTGTTGTTAAGTGCCCTCATCAAGTCAGTTCTGACCCATAGCGACCCTGTTACAATATTTGAAATGATATTGTTTACATAGAAAATAAAAATAATCTAAAAATAAATTATTGCATGAAGTTGCTGTACCAAAACAGAAAAATCACTTTTTAAGATAAAATTTTATATAAATGGAAACTATCTCATTATTTTGAGTTTATCTATATATTTAAATTAAAAAAAACAACCATTCTACTACCATAAAACTCTATGAGTAGTACACATTAAACAAAAGAAAGCAAAACAAATCTGATAACCAAATCACATTATATGATACTATAAAATACTAGTGTTATGGATTGAATTGTAGACCCCAAAAATATTTCTTGAAGTCCTGACCCCTGTACCCATAAATGTGATCTTGTTTAGAAACAGGGTTTTTTCTTTTGCTATGTAAATGAGGCCATACCAATGGGGTGTGGATCCTAAACATCATCATTTCTGTGTTGTGGAAGAGCAGACTAGAAACAAGGAGATACACAAGAGGAAGAGAAACATCAGGGAGGGAGGATCCTCTATAAGCAAAGGAAAAGCCAATGGTTGTAAGCAGCCATCAGAAACTGGAAAAGAGGCCTGTAGCAGTAGTCAGCATAATGGAGACCAGGATTTGGACTCTGAGCTTTCAGGTCTATAAAATAAATTTCTGCTTTTTGGAGTCAACCACTTGTGGCATATCTTCTTATAGCGGCACTAGCTAAGTTAACCAAGGAGCTCTGGTAGCATAGTGGTTACAAGTCTAACTGCTAACCTCAAGGTTAGCAGTTTGAAACTATCAGCCATTCTGTAGGAGAAAGATAAGGCTTTCTGTAAAGATTAATCCTGGATAAACCCTTAGCCTCAGAAACCCTATGCAAGTTCATTATGAGTTGGAACTGACTCCATGGCACATAACCACCACCAGCACCAGCTAAGATAACCAGAGATAATAAGATCCTAATTTTCTGATTTACCTACAAGAATCAATAACAACAATGGACGTTAGGAGAAAATGTACCAATGTTTTTATATTTTTGAAAGAACATGATTTAATTTAAAATATAAAATTCTATACCCAGCTAAACTGACATTAAATTATGGCCCTTTAAAAGAAAGACTTTTTCACCCATATAAAGAATTAGAACATTTGCTTCACACATACTCATCAGAAACTTCTGATAATGTACTCTAGCAAAAGAAGGGAGTAAACAAACAGAGTTAGATCTGAGATCCAGGATACAATAGACCAAGCTCAGGTAGGAAAGTAGCCAAGGGAAGTCCTAGGAAAATGCCCATGTAGAAGACATGCTCAAATCAATCATCCCAGATTCCAACCAAACCAAACCCATAGTTATCAAATTGATTCCAATTCATAGTGAATCTGTATAGGGTTTCTGAGATAGTAAATCTCTATAGGAGGAGACAGTTGGTATGTTGAACCACTGACCTTTCAATTGGTAGGTAGCTCAAGGCCTAGCCCACAGAACCACCAGATTTCCTTAATTAGAGAGTAATACAGAAGGTTCCAGGAGGTATGTTTTTAAGAAAAGAGAGCTTTAATAGATCAAGTGGGTACAAAAGCATTTGAAATAAAGTGTGGAATGCAAGGAGATTGAATATAGTGAAGGTACTGAAGAAATGAATTGTACATTTAAAAATCTTTAAAAGGGTATACTTTTTTGTTTTTATTGGCTTTAAAGTATAGAATTTTATTTTCTCATAGTGTTGGATGCCAAAAATCTAAATCAGGGTCTTGGCTTCTCTGGGTCTCTGTCCTAGTTTCTGGTATCTCCTTGTCAATTCTTGACTTATAGACGGGTCCTCATGTGGCATCTGTTTTCTTCTTGTGTGTGTCTGCATTTATTCTGCTCTTTTTGGTTTTGTTTTTAAACCTTTTATTGTGAATTGAGTGGAGGTTTACAGAACAGATCATTTAATCCCACATTCAACAAATCATATGCTTCATGTCACTACAGTGATTGCAACCCCCTCCATGTAACATCAGTTAACTGGATTTACAGCTATTCACTTTGAGACTTGTACCCCTAGGGAATACACACAATTATAATGTTATAATACACTGGACTGCAAGGGCAATTTGAACTGCAAGGTTGGTGATTCAAACTCACCAGCTGTTCCTTAGAAACCCTATACAGGGTCACTATGAGTTGGAACCAACTGGATGTCACTTAACAATGACAACAACAACACTTTAACATTTAGACTGGACTGCTGGACTGCTGATGTAAGGCTGCTGATTGTAGCCCATTAGCCACTTTGCAGGAAAAAGATGAGGCTTCTGCAAAAATATACAGCCTCAGAAACCCTATACAAGCTGCTATGAGTCAGAACCAATTTAGGGCACTTTTCAACAACAGCATCAGCCAGAAGAAATAGTTGAAGGAGTTCAAAGGGGTTGCCTGTGGCAAGTGACTTTAGAAATGGGAAAGGGGTAGGACAAGGCATACTTGTTTTTCACTGTAAACCTTAGTAGACTACTTGGTAATAAACCCTGTGTATGTATTACTCTGGTGAAATTAATAGTGTATTTTTAAAGGTGAAAAAGGAATATATATTACAACCAGGCAATATTTTGGATAACCTGTCTGAAGATCTCAGAGAAAAGGGACTGTTTTTCAAGTCTGCAGTTAGAGTGTTTGTTGTGATATGATTTTTCTCATTCTAAATAAATATTCCTCTAAATCTTATTTTTTAAAACTGTTTTTTATTATGAATTGAGTGAAGATTTGCAGAGAAGATCATAGATCATAAGTTTTACATTAAAAAAAATCATATACTTTGCTTTATTACAATGGTTGCAATCCCTTCTATGTATTAACAGTTAACAGTATTTACCTCTACTCACTTTAATGATTGCATTCCTCCCTTTGTCTCCCACCACCTTCATCTGCTAGCCTCCCTCTTGTTGTATATTGCCTGCCCTGGTCACCCATGTTAACATGTGTCTACCTCTAGCCAGTAAATAATTTTCTCTCTCCCCACCTCTACCCTATAACCATCTTAGACCGTTTCTTTATCAATTGTTGTTGTTAAGTGCCGTCGAGTCGGTTCCAACCCATAGCGACCCTGTACAGGGTTTCCGAGGGTGTAAATCTTTATGGGAGTAGAAAGCCTCATCTGGAGCGGCTGGTAGTTTCGAACTGCTGACCTTAAGGTTCGCAGCCCGATTTGTAACCACTATGCTACCAGAGCTCCTTTTTCTTTATCAATAACAATTCTTAATTATTTACAACATTAGTCTCATACAATATTTGTCCTTTTGTGACTAATTTCACTCGGCATAAATGTTCTCCAGGTTTATCCATGTTGTGAGGTGTTTAGCGGATTCATTGTTATTCTTCAACATTGTGTAATATTTCTCTGTGTGTGTCAGTGTTTGTTTAATTATTCTTTTATTGATGGGCACTTAGGCTGTCTCCATCTTGTAGACAGCATGTTGAAGGACCTTGTTTTCTTATCTATTCTGTTGTCTATGTCTCTTGACTGGTACATTTAATCCATTTCCCTTCAGTGAAATTGTCAAAAAGTATGAATTGATTGCTGTCATTTTTCTAGTTTTTTTTTTGGTGTGTGGTGATACTGTTCCACATAATTTTCTGTACCGAGTTAATTTCGTTTGTGGATTTTCTTTTCATTTCTGTTGTGTTAATATTTACTAAGTCTTTCTTACTTTCCTCTTTTTAAAAATTTTGAAGTGCAGGTTATTAATTTTCTTTGAGGTTACCCTATAATTTATTAAATTTCCCCCTCTTTAAGACAGTCTTGTCAAATTTTACTTTTTATTCTTATCTTTAGAGGATCCCTCACATTGGACAAGATTCAGGTCTCACAAAACCTGTGTTATCCCTGAATGGTGTTATATTCACTCTTCATGTTTATTTGCTCTTTTAATTCTCGTTCTGGAGGATAGCGTGAGAACAGTATTTCCAGTAATTTATATATATAATATATATATATAGTTGGAAACTGCTTATTTTACTCATGAAGACTGTAAGCCCTCTGAGGGCCGGGACTAAATTTCTACTGTAGCTAAAAAGTGTTTAATAAATGTTTGTGGAAAGAACAGATACATTTAAGTGCCTTTATGTATTACTCTTTCCTCAGCACCACACCTTTATAGAGATGGCGTTATTCAATGGCAAGAAATGGTGGGAATAGATAGGACACAGAGCTGAGTGAGGGTGATTTTTGCTTCCCAGAATGAAAGTTTAAATTGTATATATCATTTGCGAATCTCAGCTCACTTTACTAGTGGAAATTAATGATTTGCTCATGTTTTGTATTATAAGATGCAGAACATTTGGCTTGTTTTAATCATCTTTTTGTGTGCATTCTTTCTGTAAAGTGAACTATCAGCATATATTAAGTCTGTTTGAGGGATTGCTTAAAATGGGGCACACCAGTACTGAGTTCGGCTTTTTAACAATGACTAATTCGCACACCATGTGTGCAGTGTTAGATGGCTATTGGGAGCTCGCCAATAACTAGGCTCCTGCCACTTCATTCGGCCCCTTCACACTCATACCACCTGCTTCAATACGGAGGCGGTGTCTTGACCCTCGCGACCTCTTTGTCATGGCGTCTGTAGGGCGTCTACAAGCTGTGGCCTTGGCAGTAAGCCGGGCGTCGACCTTCCCAAGATGGCGGCGACTGGGTCAAATCCGCGTAGGGGGCGGAGCTCCACCGCCAGGGGCGGGGAAGGGAGGCAAAGGGGTTGGGCTAGCGGTAGGCTGTTTCTGAAGCAAGCAGGCAAAGAGCGCCTGCGCGGAGCGGCCCTGCGCGCAGTGAGGCAGTGGCGGGGGAAGGCACCGGTGGGGCCGACGGGCGGATAGAAGGAGGGAAGCGAGCGAGCGAAGTCCCAGTGCGCGCCGCGGCTGCCCGGGTACCCTCCCCTTCCGGGCGTGAGGCGCTGTGAGAAGAGCTGAACCGAGAGGACTCGAGCCGGCAGCGAGGACCCTCTGCCGCCGCCCCAGCCCAGCCTCTCTTGGCTTCAGCGCGCCCGTCGTGGGGGCCCGGTTTCCTCAGTACACCCAGATTCAGCCGCCCCCAGAGCCTGCTCCCAGTCCTTCGAAAGCCCCGGCACCGGTCCGGGCCCTTGTCGGGGAGGATGACGGAGCTGCAGTCAGCGCTGCTACTGCGAAGACAGCTGGCAGGTGAGCGGGCGGGTGGCGGGGCACCGGGCCCGGCCGCGATCTCAGTGAGCCGCTGGCCGGTACCTTCTCCTGGCCCTCCCGGAACGGGGGCTGGACTGATCCAGGGAGTAGCAGGAGCCGCCAGCGAGGCCAGGTCCAGGCCTGTGATGGGTGGGAAGCCCGAGTTGCCCGTCCGGCCGGGCCCAGCACTTCTTCCCTGGTTTTGAGGGGTTGGGGGCGGGGACGCGTCCGAGCCTCGGCCCTAGGACGGGGCCTGGCGCTCCGGGGGAGGAGAAGAGGGTGCCCCCTCCCCCATCGATGGAACGTTGCGGGGGAGGGGCTGAGTGCCCCGCTTTGGGGCCGACCCTCCTTGTTGGGGCGAGTCTCTGTCTCAGGTGCGGTCGAGGCCGCCGGACGGTGGGGGCTGGAAGGGACGTCTGGGCTCTGCACAGCTGCGGATCCCCGGCGCCGAGGTGCAGGGACTGTGAGCCCGGGCGGGCAGCGGGGACCAGGAGTGGGCAAAGGGAACTGGCTTCTGGTGGGCTAGATGAGGCGCGCAAAACTTCTCCCCGGGCAGCGCCGGGTCCGCGGAGTTGTGGCCGACAACAAAAGCGCCAGCTTCCGCGGCCTCGTCACGGGCGCGCTGGTGTCTAAGAATCTGGAGGGGGTGCAGGGCGCCGCCTGGACTGCCTCCGCCTGGCTCGGGCTCGGGCTCGTGCTGCGTCGCCCGCGGCAGGGAGAGTAGGAGCGGACATAGGAGAGAGCCGCTCGCTGGCCGCCTCGGGGCTTTGTGCGCCCAGCAGTTCGGTTCCTGCACAGGCCTGCAGACCCCCAGGGCTATGGCCCGCAGCTGTGGTTTGGGCGGTGGCTGGTCTGCCTCCCCTAAAGTGCCTGTGTCCCCCTCCCCCATTGTCCCGGGCTCGGGCCGTTTTCGGCTTCCAGGTTGACTTTTTAGGGGGTTGGCTCCTACTCTGCTAGGACTGTGTGCGCGGAGCATGCGCACTGGAGACATACGTGTGCGGAGTGTAAGGGGGGTGGTGGGTTGGTGGCTTCACAATGCTGCCCCACGTGCTACCAGATTTAAAGAGAAACGAACCAGCAGTTATTCCTGCTGTCCAACGCCCAGCGTGTGTCATTCTGAGTCCAGGCTGATCTTCCCCTCCCCACTGTATAGCAGCAGCTCCTGGCCTTCGGGAGAAGCCAAAAGCTGGAATGAAGAAATCTATTTTTGAAATAGATTTACTAAGAGTTTGAGGTGTTAGTTAAATCACTTTTCCGGCTTCATAAGGGAAAGGTTGTCAGGGGCTGTTACAGATTGTATAATTAGGTTTATTATTAGACCATGAGCAAGCAGGTTTGGACAAGTATTAAAAGTTCTAGATGCTCGGAGGGAGTGACTTGGATACAGAAGTTCTAATGATACATACTATCCATCCGGAAGAATTAGAAAAAAATAAGGAAGGAGGAACACCTTTATTATTGCATCTTGTTTTTGCAAACATACCATATATTTTTGTTTGCTTGTTTGTTTTGAAAGAAGGAATTGAGTTCTTAAAATGATCGTTTTCTTAAGAATTCTTTAATCAGTGTGGTGGTTATGTGCCATGGAGTCAGTTTCGGCTAATAGCGACCCTGTATAGAGTTTCCGGAGTCCTGGTGAGGTGCTGTGGGTTAATGCGCTGGCCTGCGAGTCTTGTGAACCGCAAGGTTGGCGGTTCAAACTCACCAGTCACTCCTTGGATACCCTATACAGGGTCGATGTGGGTCGGAATTGACTCAACTGCACTTAACATCATAGGATTTCCAGGAGTCCTGGTGTGGCGCTGTGGGTTAATGCCCTGAACTAAAACGTCGGTTTGAACCAACTTACCAGTTGCTCCTTGGAAACCCTATACAGGGTAGCTATGGGTCGGAACCAACTCTGCTGCACTCAACAGCAACATAGGGCTTCCAAGGAGCCACTGGTGGGTTTGAACCGCTGACTTTTCGTCCAGTATTAAAGCACTAAATATTGTGGCCCTGTGGGATAATGCACTAGTCTGCAAAGTCGTTTGAACCTCAGGGTCAGTGGTTCAAACTCACCAGCCGCTCCCTGGAAACACTATACAGGGTCGCTATGATTTGGAACCGACTCGATGGCTCATAACATTAACAGCAACAAATCATACATATTAGAGGAGATACACATTTTAAAAGATGTAAAAGAAATTAGTACTAAGAAAGTGTTTTAAGGTTTGACCAATAACAAGTGCGGTTGAGTCAGTTCTGACCCAGAGCAACCCTTACAGGGTTTCTGAGGAGTTCCTGGTGAGCTTGAACCGCCGACCTTGATGTTCAAACGGCTTTGCTGTCTGGCGCATTAATCCACAGCAGCACACCAGGACTCCATAAGTGCCGCCTGGTGGGTTCCAACTCACAGTAACCCTCTATGGGGTTTCTGGGAGACTTTATGTGGCGCTATAAGATAAGCTGCAAGTTCTGGAGTTCAAAACCACCAGCCGTCCTAAGGAAGAAGGAAGACGCTTTCTGCTCCTGTAAAGATTTATAGCTTTGGAAACTATAGGGTCGCTATGAATGGGAAAGACCCACAGCTCATAACCACCAATCCTGATAGGTGCTGCAGGTTAATGCACTGGACTGCAAGGTTGGTTTGAACCGCAAGGTCAGAGGTTCAAGCTCTTCAGGCGTTCCTCAGAAATCCTATACAGGGTCGCTGTGGGTCGGAGTCCACTTGACAGCACTTAACAACAACAACGATGGCTCAAATACGGAGTCCTGATGTGGCGCTGCAGGATAATGTACTGGACCATAAAGTCGGTTTAAACTGCAAGGTCGAAGGTTCAAATGCACCAGCTGCTCCTTGGAAACTATCCAGGATCTCTATGAGTTGGAACTGTACTCGAAGGCTATTGTTAAAACATTTCTAAAACTTTCCTAAGAGTCCTGGTGTGGCCCTGCGGGCTCATGTGCTGGGCTGCAAAGTCGGTTTGACCAGTTCCTCGGAAACCCTATTCAGGGTTCCTATGAGACCTGGTGTGGCGCTGTGGGCTAATGCGTCAGACTGCAGAGTTATTTGAATCGCAAGGTCAGTGGTTCAAGCTCACCAGTCGCTTCTTGGAAACCCTATACAGGATCACTATGGGTCGGAATCTGCTTGACAGCACCTAACAACAACAATGATGGCTCAGAACCGAATCCACTGCGGCACTTAAAAACAATGTAAAATATTGTTAAAACACTTCAAAAAGTTATGTTGTTGGTTTTCAAATATACTTTAAGGTTAGAGGAGAGCATGATTTAGTTTATAGTTTTTAAAGCGTCATTATAAAGTTAATTAGATTAATTTATCTTGATCAGAAACTGTGAAACTGTTAAGTTAAAAAAATTTGGAAGGACTTTATTTAACATAATCAAAATATATATTGTAATAGGCCAAGACAGTTTTTAATTGAATGTGAAAACACTTAAGTTTATTGAAAAACTTGATAGCTACACAATAAAATAAAGGCCCTATTGTATTTTAGTAGTAAATTATTTGAGCTTTGTGTTTCTTTAAATGTCATTTGAAAATAAGAAAGGATAGTAAACTGTAATCTCATGAAATCATTTAGAACTTTTGGAACATCTGATAAGTGTTTTAAATTTTTCAGAATGTATTGAATTGATAGGCAAACTTGTAAGCCAGTTCTAGCTGCTAGAATTTCAGAAATTTACAACGGTGGCTGCATTTATTGGGTCTCTTGTCTGCCAGTCTAGATTTTACTTCATAATTTGCATGGAAAATTTAATGTATGTTTTGTTTTTTGTAACAGTGCAAAAGAACCTGGGTACGTTCAGATTTCAGAGTTGTATAAAATGGTACTTGGTTTGCAGGGTTTCTCAGTCTTGACACTACTGACACATTGGGCCAGGTTTCTTTTTGTAGGGGACTGGGCTGCTCATTATAGGATGTTTGACAGCATTCCTGGCCCAATCCACTAGATGCCAGTAGTACCCTCTCTCTTCCTTCCCCAGTTGTGACTACCACAAATGTCTCCAGGTTGAACACCGTGGTAAGTAAGGTGTCTGTATTAGTGAAAACTTTATGGCTATTGTGAAATAAGAACAACTAACAGATTCATGAAATCAGATGGATTGGGTTATTTCTTTGTGGCTATTATTCCTTTGGAAATTCAGTAGTGGTGATTGAATTTTTGCAATGCATTATACTAAGTATTAAGAAGTCCATAGCACAAGAAACAACTTGGAACAGCGGTTAAAAATGCAAAAAGTACACAAAAATGTGATTTATAAGTGTCTTTTTACAATCCTGATGCCAAATTGTTTTCATTTGTCATTGACATTTGTGTGTGTGTATCTTCTCAGGAGTTTTGATATGTTTGTTTATATGGATTAATGTTTACTGAGGATGACAACATATTCCAAACACTGGACTCAACATTTTACCTGTATTACCTCAGTTCATTCTCCAAAAAAGAAAATAGAGACTTAGGGAGGTTAAGTAATGAATGTTACTACTGATACCAAAAGCAGCTCTGGTAGTGTAGTGGTCACAAATCGGGCTGTGAACCTCAAGGTCAGCAGTTCGAAATTACCAGCTGCTCCGCGGGAGAAAGATGAGGCTTTTTGCTCCCAGAAAGATTCACAGCCTCAGAAACCCTGTGCAGGGTTGCTATGAGTCGGAACCAACTCCACGGCACATTACCACCACCACCACTGATACCAAGGAGTCCTGGTGTGGTGCTGTAGGATAAGCACTGGGCTGCTAACCACAAGGGTGGTAGCAGATCAAACCCACCAGCTGCTCCTTGGAAACCATAGACTGGGTCAGCTATGAGCTGGACCTGATTTGATAGCACTTAAAAACAACTAATACCAAATTCAAGACATTCTGATTTTAGAGACTTTGTTTTTCTAAATTAGATTCTCAAGGTAATCACAGAACTAGTCTGTAGAATCAAGGAAAATGTCTTTGAATTTAATACTATAAACTGAAAGTAAAGCTAAATGTTTTGGTGTTG